GCGAACAGGAGCCATTCCCCCCTGTCAACTATCGGAGGTTAGCCACAGGAACTAATTCCGATGATGAACACTCAGCCATTGCGGAGTCTCAATCATCAAGCTCTTTCATTGGGCATGAGAGCTTCACCCACATGGCAGAACATTCTGAAGATATTTCAAAGAGGGTTGCGGAGCAAGACGTCATGCTCAAATCATAGCAGAAGACCCTCAATGAACTCCAAGACCTGTTGACTCAACTCATCACAGACAAGGCTAAATCTCAGAAGACAGATTCGCCACCTAGGCAAGAATCCTCCCGGAGAGGAAAAACGTCTTCATCCCGACCTCACACAAGCAAAGGGAAGGGAAAATTGGTTGATGACACGGCTTCTGACCAAGAAGCCCACAACCTAGAATCTTCCTCTGATGAAGGAAGAGAGACTGAGAACAAGCAGAATCTCCAATCTGCTAAAATGGAAGAATTGGAAGCCCGCCTCAATGTTATTTCTAACAGAAGCGAGCTCCAAGAAGAGGGAGTTGTCAGACCCTATCCTGCCGAATGGGATGCAGCCCCTTATCCTCCAAAATTCGAAGTCCTGATGCTACAAACTTTTGACGGCACGGGATCACCGAACCAACATATCTATCATTTCAAGTCACAGACTGGGAATGTGATATCAAACGACGCCATACTGGCTCGATTATTCATTGGCACCCTCAAGGGAGTTACCTTTGAATGGTTCGGATCTAGAGAGACTTTTCCTATCAAGATTCTTTGAAGATGATACAGAAGTCTCCATTCATACCCTTCTTGCCACTAAACAGAAGAAGAGGGAGTCTATCAAAGCCTTCGTCAAAAGGTTTCGAAACATGGCTTTGCGATGTCCGACAAGTATGACACAGTCTACCCTAGTGGAGACCTGTCGACACAACTTGCAAACCGACCTCCTAGCCCGAATAGGAGTTGCAGGATGTCGTTCTTGGAGACAACTAATCTCTCAAGGGGAACAGGCTCAAAAGATTATTGCCAGGATCAAAGCTGAAGAACAAAGTATGCAGGATCAACCTGAGCAATCGGACCAAGCCCAATCTTCTCAGTCAAAAGAGGAAGATAACACGACCACTGAAGCCAATCCTCTTCAGTAGGATGGTAGGTCCAACAACTATCACGTTAATGATTACCTCTGATAGTCAAACTCGTTAGATAGTGGCCCACTAGGTGATGTGCCACGTCTACCCTTTTTCCCCTACACTTGTTCAAGACTGGGGGTTGGTTTATTTGTAGTTCATTGAATTATGAGTAAACTTGCCAATCCTCTTCCTGTCAACCACGAAATCCACCAAAACTATCACGTTAATGATCACCTCTGATAGTCCATTTCCTCCAAATTCCCCCACCAATCCTCTTTAAGTAGGATGGCGGGTCCACCAAAACTATCACGTTAATGATCACCTCTGATAGTCTATTTCCTCCAAATTCCCTCACCAATCATCTTTAAGTAGGATGGCAGGTCCATCAAAACTATCACGTTAACCGTCACCTCTGATAGTCCTTTTCCTCCAAATTCCCCCACCAATCCTCTTTAAGTAGGATGGCGGGTCCACCAAAACTATCGCGTTAACCGTCATCTCTGATAGTCCTTTTCCTCCAAATTCCCCCACCAATCCTCTTTAAGTAGGATGGCGGGTCCACCAAAACTATCACGTTAACCGTCACATCTGATAGTCCTTTTCCTCCAAATTCCCCCACCAATCCTCTTTAAGTAGGATGGCGGGTCCACCAAAACTATCACGTTAACCGTCACATCTGATAGTCCTTTTCCTCTAAATTCCCCCACCAATCCTCTTCAAGTAGGATGGCGGGTCCACCAAATCTCTGATAGTCCTTTTCCTCTAAATTCCCCCACCAATCCTCTTCAAGTAGGATGGCGGGTCCACCAAATCTATCATGTTAACCGTCACCTCTGATAGTCCTTTTCTTTCAAATTCCCCCACCAATCCTCTTTAAGTAGAATGGCGGGTCCACCAAAACTATCACGTTAATGATCACCTCTGATAGTCATTTTCCTCCAAATTCCCCCACACCAAAACTATCACGTTAATGATCACCTCTGATAGTCATTTTCCTCCAAATTCCCCCACCAATCCTCTTTAAGTAGGATGGAGGGTCCACCAAAACTATCATGTTAATGATCACCTCTGATAGTCTATTTCCTCCAAATTCCCCCACCAATCCTCTGAAATAGGATGGCAGGTCCACCAAAACTATCAAGTTAACAGCTATCTCTGATAGTCCATTCCTAACAAATTCTCCTGCCAGTCCTCTTCAATAGGATGACGGGTCTACAAAAACTATCACGTTAATAGTTACCTCTGATAGTCCATCAACTTGCCAATCTTCTTAAATAGGATGGCAGGTCCACAAAACTATCACAGCTACTCCTGATAGTCAAACTCATCAGATAATGGCCTACCAGGTGATATGCCCCTATTCCGACTTCATGGATAGTGCCCCACTAGGTGATGTGCCTTATCTATCTCTTTTTATTCCCCTGCTAAGTCTTAATCAAGACTGGGGATTGGTTACTTGGAATCCATTGGATTAAGAGTAATAAATCTTTCACATCGTTGAGTTAACATTATACTTCTGACGATTATCACCCTCACGGAGTATGAATTCAGTTTGCATCACTCCTAATTTGTCACGTTAACAATACACCTCTGACAATCAACTTATCAATCCTCTCCAATAGGATGATAGGTCCTCAAAATTGCTCCAATCGCAACACAAACCTTAGTATCAAAATTCATCGCTCCTGATGATAAACTCACTTAGTAATTCTCCCCAGCGAGACGCTAGTCCCCAAAATCTTGTTCAAATCACTGTAGGCTGTCTAAAAATCACAATGGATAGCTAATCCCTATCAAGCCCTGATAATGGAAGTTACAAT